AGTGTGTTCCTGTTGAAAATAACACAGTTATGCACTCTGAACTCATTTCAGATTGATGACTCTGCTCTCAAATGGTAGCTCACATTAATGTGTATCAAATTAATACAGATACACCTGACTACAGGTCCTAAATAAACTCACTTTCCCCTTATAGTAAAAACAGTTTCACAGCTCTCTAGCACTTCCACCTTTTCTCACTCTAATCTGTGGTATCTCCTCACATTTCCTAAACAAAAAAGACACAGTTGGCTTCACAAACTCCTGGACTCCTAAAACCAACTCTACAGACATATCTGCATCAGTACTACAAAGCCTGACCTTTCTCATTCCAGAAGATTCCTTGCTCCTTTCTAAGGTTGTTCTTTCCATTTATGCTTTGGGCATCCATCTCTCTGGTCTTCTCATGGAAAATTCTACTCTCTGTACTGGATTATTCACATTGCCTGCCATAACTTACAATATTCTACTTTCAAAATACCTTCTCTATTCTGTTCCTTCCTTCAGTAACCAACCCATTTCTGTTATTTTCATAGTAAGTACACTTTAAAAAGAGTTGTCTAGACTAGCTATATACAATGTGTTTTGCCTTCTATATATCTATTCCACTTACTCCGAAGAAGGTTATGTGGCAACACTTCATTGAAATGACCTTATCCATGTTTGCAATGACCTACAATTTAGAGGAAATGTGGCCCAAGCCCAATTTTTCTAAACGTATTGTTACGGAGCCAATAAAATGTAACAGTGCACACATTTCTTACCTGCCCTGGAGACACAGTGTAATAGTGACGAGTGTCTTGGATATGACTTGGGTGAAGCTTTAATATCAACAAGTAAATTGCTATGAAACTGTAAGGAAGCATCCTATATGTTGTAAATGTATTTACTTAAAACATGGTGAATAGTAAGAAAAAGATAATCATTTGAATCAGTTATAGATTTCTTGTTATCTAAATGATTCTAGTATAGCAGGCCTATGAATATCAAAATGGTAATCCTATTAGGAATTATAAGGTCATTGATAATGTCAGCCTCTATATACAGGAATACAAATATAAAATGGAATAATAATTGTAAAGTATTTCCTCTAGCCATCCATAGTTCCTGATGCATGCCCAACTGACCCTGGTAAGAAGGGCACTACAATGTCAATGTTCTTATGTCTAAAAAAGTATCCCAAAAACATGGAACAAATTTTACCATATTGAGAGAAGAATTATGGTGTAATTAATTAATGTACTGTTCAGTTTTAGTTACCTAAAAGATGATTAAAGAAATTATAAATACTTTTGTTTAAAGGTCTAATAAGTTGTTCTATTCAAAAATTTATTATTTGATTTTTTAAAATCACGATAATTAATAGATTCTTGAAATACTTTTTCTTGAAACTGTATTCTGCAAGTTCACAAACCCCTCCTAAGTAGGTTGAAATGCCTTCTGTTATCTCCCATTAACCTCCATTACCACCTGCATAACCTTAATTAATCACTTCTCCTTCGAAGGCAGTAGGCTCTTAATTGACCTTAGGGTTTCTGTTCTACATTTTCTTAAAAATCTTCAAATAGTGCCTATGCTGCTGCTATATAATGACACAAAATATTTATAAGCCACACTGTGTGAGTAGGTACTAAGTGCCAGTGAGGAAAAAGCACCCTAACATGTAATACTCATGAAACCATGAAGAGGAAGGTAATATTATTCCTGTTTTTACCTATAAGAAAATAGATAGTTGAGCCAACCTCATATTGCCAAAATTCCAAATTCATAGCTGATGAAAACGAGCATGTTCTTTATTAGCCCTAAGACCTATATAATCACAGATATATTAATCCTGAGAATATAGCATCATTTGTAGCTTACAAAGTTTGTCACAATGCCATGCCTTTATTCTTTTGCATAGGACTTTATTGCATATATTCTTTTTATATTGTTTCTGACCTCTTTCACTCTTCCTCAAATAGATAACTTCTACTTGTAAAGCAAGGTAGTTCAGACATCACATCCTTGCTAACTTGAATGGGTATGTCTCCACTGTACTCCTAAAACACTTATCACCATATATAATATTGTTGGCCTCTTTGTTGTTCTTACTGTAAACTTCTTGGAAGACAGTAAGAGGTATTAATTGAATGTTTATCTCCAGTGCAAAGACAATACTAGACACTCAAAGCATGTTTATTTAAGAGAGGATTTTCTGTTTAAGAGCTTGCTGGTAACCTTTAAAAAGGTAAATATCATGGTTCAAGGGATTAAAGACTTAATGGAAATAAGTAATCAGGTGTAAGCTGCCTTTCCAGGGGGTTTATAGCAGAAGGGAAGGAAGAAATAGGAGAGTAAGATGACATAATATAATTTTAAGCAATAGTTATAAAAATATGTTTTGGTCTAGAGTAGAGGAGAGATGTGGTATCTTTCTGTCATACATACATGTGTGAGTGTGCACAATGTGTATAATAAGCTAAGGGGAAAATTTTACTGGAACCACAGATGAAGTAAACAATAGATAAGTTTTGTTTTAGGTGTTAAACATGTAGAGGTAATAATTAGGGTTTGAGAATAAGATAGACCTCAACCGGAGTCACAGCTCATTCTTCAATTTCTACATAACCACAGGCAATCCATTTAGTCTGTCTGAACCTCTGTTTACTAATATGTAAATAGGATGTATGAATGTTATTAAGAAATACTGATGCCTGTGTGGTACTAACAGAAGTATTTATTGACTAGGACTGGGATGTGTTAAAAAGACCATTTTCCCCTCAGGTGATTCTACTATGCAAGCTGGCCTGAGAAACACTGCACTATGCAGATGGATTGACTCTCTTAATGTCCTTTCTTTTCAAGTGCTGATGATAGGCTTATGATTGGCATAGGTAGAACCCATCAGAAGATACAAGTATGGGGAGCTCTAAAAGGTACAGATAAAATAAATGAAGCAGGAGCTAATAGATAAGGATGAGGGCGAAAGAGCCAATAGGAAGAGTGAGTTGTTTGTTCCTTGAGTGGGAAGTATAGCTGAGGTAAAACATCAAAAAGTTGGTTATGTAGATGAAGAGAAGTGTTACATTGGCTGAGTTTAGAAATAAAATGTAAATAAAACAAAGCACATAAACTATATCTGTTCTTTATTATTCATGGTATACTTTGAATATAAATATGTATAATTAAAAATATCATCTTACTGTTATTATATGCTACCAAACAAACCTAGAGAGACATCATGTATGCCACAGAAAATTTATCAAAATGACAATTCCATTCCTACATTAATATTTTTTTCATATTACATGATACACAAGAGGTATTATACACAAGCTCTCTGCTTCTCTTCTATCAGCAGTTGACAAACATTTCTAGACTATTGAGCAAATTTAATGTGCCAGGCATATGAACAAACTCATTTAATGATCACATCCATTCTAGCAGATCAGTAATTTATTTACCAGCACCATTTTGTATGTAAGGATATGAGAGAGAAGGAAGTCTAGTAACTTGAATGAGGTTACCTGGATGGTAAATATGGAGACAGAATTGAAATTCTGGTAGTTTGGCTCCAGAGCTTTGAAATTTCAGCTACTCAGAGATTGTTGTATATGTTGAATGTCTTCAATAATTATATGTTGAATGAATGAGTGAATAGGGATTAGGCTATTTTTAATGATTCATCATATTGTTTGGGTATACATATGTGTTTACCTACTATGTGTATGCTTTGCATTATCTTGAAGATTTCACTTCTTTCCTGATCTTTGAATGATAAAAATCCTTTAAGGTCATGGGAGATGGAGTCAGCAGATGCTAATGACAGTAGAGAGGAGAGTTTCTAAAAAAAAATAAGCTATGCCTTCAAGAGCACAGGGTAACTTTGTCAGATTTCTTGAAGGAGAGTCAAGAAAATTCATAACTAGAGTAGAGTGATAAGCACCCTCTCTTTTTGTTCATGTGTTATGAATAATTTGTGATATTGTTAATTATTGATGAAAGTGCTGCCAAAGATTGATTCTGGTTTTTATCATAATCAGGTTTGTTTGAAGCATATATATAGCTTTTATACTTAATGACTAAGTATGAAAGTTATCTGCCCAAAATATTAGCATTATGAAATATTTTAATTTCAGTTACTTTTTATTGGTGAACTTTAAACTTTTAATATTTAACAGACGTTCAAGTTGTTATATTTTATAACATTTTATTAATTTAATATTAATTGTGTTAATTTATAAATATTTAATATTTATAAAAATATTTAACCTTAGATATTTAAAGTTTTAAGAAATAGTTTTAAAATATTTTAAGTATTTTACCTTTCTATGAATATTTACTTTATATGTTTTAATAAATTTTATAACTTAGAAACAATTATTTTTTTCTTCAGTGACAGGAATACAGTAACTATTTGACAATAAGACAGGAGAAGTCAAGATGTTGAACAATTAAGAGAAGAATATGATGCCAATGGAAGACATTTGACTTTAACCAGCATAAAGGTCACCATATCTTCATGTCACTTGCTTTATTTGAAAAGGCCTTTTAAAATCACAGCTTTTAACAATAAAACTATATCAGTTTTTTTTTTTACATAGCTGAATATTTTTGTGTAATATGTCACATATTTTGATAGGTTTGAATTTTACTACTGCAATTATGTGAAGGTTTATATGCCAGAGATGTGCTTGTTTTGGTTAAAACATTTACAGTGCTAGACAATCACCAATAGAAAATAAGTTGCAGATTCCAATTGTGTTTTGATTGTGATTGTATTTCAATGACTAATATTAAATTAAGGTATTTAAAATACATATTTACATAAAATCATTTATAAAATAAAAGTATCATATAAAATGATTGAATTTTTTATCAGACTACTCAGAACCTGGATTTGATTTTCATTTTTTAAAGGCACAGTCAGTGAGAAACAATTTTGTACCACTTTAATGATGCCCTTTGATAAATTTAAAAAATATCCCACATGCTTACTTAATTCCAATTTCCCAACATACCTCAGAAACGTAAGAGTTCAGCTGCAGAATTGGTGCTACTTTATGAGCAGCAATACTGTAAAAAAAAAAAACAAACAACAACTTGCTCAGGTTTTTCCTAAGTATACGTCTCAAATCAGATAGTATCTTGAGTCAGCTTTCTCTGAAAATCCAGTGCTTAGGCAGATACTTGCTTGCAGGAGGTTTACTAAAAGCCTGTTTTGGGTAATAACATCTAGGCTGTGAGAGAAGCAGGACTGGTCAGGAATAGAACTGTGGTATAGTGACAAAAGAGGACTGATCAGAGGTTATAGCCTAGAGTATAAGTAATGTAAAACAGGCTAATGGAGGGAAATAATGCTATCTAGTTGTTGTGATTTTTCAGTCCATCTATAGCAGCAAAAAGTCTTTTTTATTTTTGCAACCATATACTGAACTAGCTCACCCATTAAGCAGACTCAGCCTTTTCTCTCCTCTAACAGCTGGGACACCCAATGTAACTTTTTTTTTTTTTTTGAGACTGAGTCTTGCTCTGTCACCAGGCTGGAGTGCAGCAGCATGATCTCTGTTCACTGTAACCTCTGCCACCCAGGTTCAAGCGATTCTCCTGCCTCATTCTCCTAAGTAGCTGGGACTACAGGCATGGGCTACCATGGCCAGATAATTTTTGTATAAGTAGAGATGGGGTTTCACCATATTGGCCAGGATGGTCTCTATCTCTTGACCTCATGATCCTCCCACCTCAGCCTCCCAAAATGCTGGTATTACAGGTGTGAGCCACTACACCTGGCCCCAATGTAACCTTAGGTTGAGGGAGAGGTATTAGTGCAAACTTGGAGATGTGTGCCACCAGGGTATGCAGCTAATGTGTGTCCTCTGGCTCTGCTCAGGCCTGATCCCACATGTGCTTTCGTTTTACTCTGAGTCGTTGGTTTCCCCCAACTTTTGACTTAGTTGTGCTAATACAATGCAGTTCATGATGGGTAGCTGCGGCCACAGGGTCACTGAATATTCTATGATAAAGATTATATTCTTTATTTTTAGCACACTGGGATTTATTCTTTAAATTTATTTTCAATGGCAGAGGGCTTTCTGCTGCAGATTGCATGGATTCGCCATTATCCTTAAGCTTTATAAGTTTACATGGTCATTCTTTTATTAAGGTTTTCCATAAACCTCACAATTCAATTTTTTTGCCACAGATTTTTATAGTGTATAGAATCCTGCTGGGTCACAAGGTCCAGGAGGTAGGAATGCTTACTCTACAGTCTAGACCTAGTGCAGAGCCCTTTCCTGCTCTAAGCCCCAATCAAAGTTGTCACCTGGTAAACAGATGGGTGTATGATATGGTTTGGCTTTGTGTCCCCACCCAGATCTCACTTGCATTGTAATCCCCACCACGTGTTGAGGGAGGAACCTGGTGGGAGATGATTGGATCATGGGGACCGGTTCCCCCATGCTGTTCTTGTGCTAAGTGAGTGAGTTCTCAGGAGATCTGATGGTTTTATAGTGTTTGGCAAGTTCCTCCTTCGTGCACTTTTCTCTTGCCTGCCATCATATAAGCAGTGTCTGCTTCCCCTTCCACCATGATTATAAGTTTCCTGAGGCCTTCCCAGCCATGGGGAACTGTGAGCCAATTAAAATTCTTTTCCATTATAAATTACACAGTTTCACTATCTTTATAGCAGTGTAAGAATGGGAAAATAACAGTGTAAGATTATGAGGTATCATTTTCCATATTAGTGGGTAGGAAGTACAAAGTAAAACAAATTTCCTTTACTTCAGAGGGAATGTCACACAGCATATTCCAAACCATGGGAACGATAATAAGAAATATCCTAAGGTGGCAGACCCCTGAATTTTTGTAGGATTCATCTCCTACCCTCTGATGTGCGTGTGTCTTACCAAAGCCTTCAACTTTCTTATTACCTGTTGCTCATCTGAACAATTAAGTTGATGGCATAGATATAAAGGAACAATGTGAAGTTATGTCCAATCATGGTCCCTTTGGATTACATTGTGATGGAAGGTGAGAATTAACCCCAAACCTGAGCAAGATCATAAATATATATTATTGTTTATTCTACGAATGTGAATGCATTTCTCACGTGAATAAAAATAATGTACTCACGAAATCAATGTCCATAATCATACCATTTACCTGAGGCAGTATTGATATGATAGCAACTTTATCAATATTGATATTGATGCTAAGTCTAGCAGAGTTCCTATACTCAATCCAGCAGCTAAAATTTGGGCTACTTATTGGTTGAGTGTGAGGTAGCACCCTCTCATCCACTGGGAGTCATTTAGTTTTTGTAGAGGAAAGACTTGCAGTTTAAACAGGGCTTGAGTGGGCATCACCACCATTCTTTATGTTTAAATGGGGCTCGTATAGGCACCATCACCATTCTTTATGGTTTACAGGTAGCACAATTCCCTGCCATGCAGCGCCTACCCCAAGATTGTGATATTGTATCAGATTTATTATTTCTTCTATGGAGGGGGCAGTTTTGAAGATGTACATTTGACCTTTGCCACAGGCCAAGGAGTTAACATGATTTTGCTAACAATCAAGTATAGCCACATGCATGTATGTAATTATACATCTGGGCACTATGCAGATAGTAATCACATGGGGAATGAGCTTAGCAGTCCAACAGTGAGCTATACTTGGGCTGGGATTCCTTTTATCTTACTTGGCTTCCATGAGTCTGAAATCTGAGGCCACGGTGATGCTTCAGATCATGGGAATCAATGTCAATTTGAGCACTGTGTCCAATGGTTCTTAAATTGATTGGTATTCCCCTTTTACACTGATCACTTACAGAATTAAATGGCCTATCATTCCTTTGGAGAAAGAAAGAAACACTGGGGTAATTACTGCCACATACACATGCCGTGATGTTGAAGGGTATTTTTCTTCCTCACGAGGAAATTGCTCCTTCAGTTAATGGGCTCTTGGTCTGCAAATTTTCTCAGCTCTGGGTACTGGGCATGGGATTATGGCTTTTTATTGGAGTGGCTGCCCTAAAACTGTAGAGCATGAATCTTTGAGTTATTGTTTGGTTGCATAAATTATGAAATATCCTAACTGGCTGTCCATCAATCTTGTGCATGGAACAACATGTCCTAGTAACAATCTCCATAACTCTGGGTCAGGCACTTCCAGCCACTACTCTGACCATGTTTCTCATTGGGATGTTTCTGATTTATGACTCTTAAGTGTATGGCTTCTCTCATTTTAGTGTCTTAATATCCCCATTGCCATCATTGTGCCCAGCTTCTATAATGACCCCTCCTACTATCAGCCGTGGCCTCCAGAAAACAGCTACCACTGAGGTTCTCAATGGTGATGCCACTCTCACCAATGCATTTCTTATTGATTTAGTAAGTGCAGTGCTCCCTGGGTCCTCCTGTGGAACATTGCTTGAAGGCGGGTGTTTTACCTTTATATGGTGTATTAAGAATCTCATTTTTTGTGAGTGGTTTGATCCCTCCGTGACCACCTACTATGAAAATTCCATAATTCTTCATTTAGTGTGTGCCTTTCATTTTTCCAGAATTCCAGGAACATATTAACACTGTTTCTTGTGGTTGTGCTAGGGTATTAATCAACATTTATATTGATAAATTCTTCTTATTAATTTTATGTTCCAGAACTCTAGATCCCTTGACCTCAACACCTTCAGGATTTAGTGCCATGTATACTCTCCCAGCTCCTGCTGGTACACACTAGCTAGGTTTTTCAGCTTCTTTGGTGCACAGCCTTCCTTTCCCCATAGAATCAGCTCTTCATCAGTTGGGCTGTGTTTTGACATAATCCTAGTTATTGGTCTGGTATTCAGGAGAGGAGTTGGAGGTTCATCCTGAATTACGTGAAAGTAAAATTGCAAGGTACTGTCTTCAAGCCATTGGGTAGCACTAGTTCTTAACGGGGAGGAATAGGCCACTTCTGTAGGTCCAGAAGGTTCAGAGAAGTCTGCATTTCAAGTTGATAAACTTGAAAGTGTGTCATTTAAGATGTATTGATTCCAAGACTCACTTTTTTCTAATGAAGGTCCTGATCATGGTGGAGCTGACCTGCCAGGGTTGAGAATTAAATTTTCAAGGAGCTCCACTATACTTAAAATTTTGTCCTGGGCTTGAGTGTAGCTTTTTCTGCCCTCTGGCCGTTGGAGTTTTATTAGTTTCTTTAGAGATGTCATGATTTCTTGATTCTTTATAATACTTGTGTCCTTGCATTTTCTGTGCATTTGAAGAAATGGTCCACTCTTTTGGCATTTACAGGTGTTCTTTGCCAGAAATAGACTTTCACTAATAGTGTAGCCTGTGATTCTGAAAAGGCTGACAACTCCAGGCAGAACTTGCTGTGGTTTCTCTAGTTGCTGGGCCACTGCCTTTGCTTTGATGGCTGGGCTCTGCTGTCCAGAGAGACCACTGGCTGGACTCTGCTATTAGAGGAAGCTACTGGTTGGGCTCTGCTTTTAGGAAGAGTTTCTTGGTACTGTGATATTCTCTGGTCAGGCTAGTCATGAGATGTATTCCCTGGCTGGGCAATTTTGCTCTTTGGAATCTGCACTTGGGTGGTGCTTCGAGCTGGGCTCTGAGGGTAGGCAAAGTTGCTGCTTGCAATGGGCAGGACCAGAGTCTATGCTTCTTAGAAATGTGTGATTATGGGTTGCCTCCATTAGACCAGAACTGTAGGGTAGATTTTTGCCTGAGTCAAGATGCTACTTGACCTCCTGGGTCAAGCAGATTTAGTCTCTACACTTCTGCAAAATGCACATTGGGAGGCTGTTGGGCAGGACTTTTGGCTGAGCTAAGGTAGTTAGTCTTTGGACTGCTAGGTCTTACAAGTCTAGCCCTTATGGCTCTCAGAAACATTTGCAGGTAGATCTTTCCCTGCCTCAACAGGATTATAAGGCAAGCTTTTTGGCTGAGTGGAGTGACTGCTTGACGCAAGAGATCTAGCCCCTGTGATTCTCAAAATGGGCAGAGGTGGACATCTCCCTATCTGGACAGGGTTGCTAGAGTAGGCCGTGTGCCTGGGCATGGTGACTAGACATCTAGGCT